TGAGCTGAGCATAGAACGTCAGCAAACAGTGACTAAAATGAAGAGCGGGTGCTGCTGAACTGGGACTGCCACCTTAATAAATCATTTGGTTTGAGTAGTTGGTACATGCTTACTCAATTTTTAAAAAGATGCATACCATCGGGGAAGAAAATTGAGGACAGAACAGGAAGGGCGTCACTCGCAACAAACTTTATTGTCAAAAAATTAGCGACATATATAGGCATAGCAACCTTGCACACGTACATTGCCTCACATCCCAGTAAAAAACACGCGATAAGATTAACAACAAAAAAATTAGGGCAAAAAGCCACTAAACGAAAAAAGACTCTAAACAATGAAATTCGCCGCCATGCAGAGAAACAAATGCAATGCTAACATGCCCATCTTTCTTCTTTTTAATGTATTATGCTTCTATACTTTACGTGCTAAGGTATCATTACTCTTACCAAGGACGGATACACTGAAAAACCTAGCCTCACACTTGCAGGAACCACAATATGCAGGCAAATGTGCCGGTGCAGAAAGGACAGAAGTCGGTAGCAAGAGCTTCTTCTAAAAATTAAACTTTTGGCATATTTTTCAGCACATTGTGGTTCCTGCAAGTGTGAGGCAAAGTTTTCCAATGTATCCGTGCTCTGAACGAATAATGATACCTTGGCACGTGAAATTATGGAAGCATACTACATTAAAAAAAAGGAAGATTCTCATGTTAGTATTACATCTGTTGCTTTGCATAGTAGGGAATTTTGTTTCCTAGAATCTTTTTTGGTTTAGTAGATTTTTCGTCATCTTTCTTTTGTTGTCGATCCTATTGCATGCTTTTTCATGTTTTTTTATTAGCATGTGAGGCAATGTTCACGAGCATGGTTGCTACGCTTATATATTTTGTTGATTTTTCGAGAATAAAATAATTGCGAGTGACGCCTTTTCTGTTCTGTCCTCAATTTTGTTCCTCGATGGTATGCATCTTTGTCTATTTTAGTAAGTACTGTGTTATTTGCAATAACGAAACCCTTGCAACACCAAAATTTTTTGTTCACCTGTTCATCTAGCTACAGCAAGGGTAAGCTGTTCACAGAAAAAATACAGAAAATAAAACCCTCAAACCATGCACCAGAATAAAAATAACAGGATAAGCAAAGCGAAAAAGATGCTGCCTAACTGCTCGCATCCCTAAACCCCACGAAAAGAGAGGGCTCTTTATCTTAAAGGTGCAACGATAACATGCTTACACATGCGTCAGTTGACCTTGCAATCTCCTCCACCTCTACTATTTCCCTGACCCTTTGACCTGAACTAAGTGTAAGAAACAATCTGTCTTCAAAAATGAGCCTAACCCATCCACCCACGCAAGGATTCACAGGAACCTTTAAACTGCTGTTTATAGACTGCAATAATGCCCACAGAGTGTATTATTATGAAAGGATCCTGTCTGAGCCACTGACCCTCCTGCATGTCACAGAACAAAAGCTCAATTAATTGATTGATTGATATGTGGATGGTGATTGATTGATGATATGTGGGTATGTGATTGATTGATATGTGGGGTTTAACATTCCAAATCCACCCTATGATTATGAGAGACGCCGTAGTGGAGGGCTCAGGAGATTTTCGACCACCTGGGGTTCTTTCACGTGCGCCCAAATCTGAGCACACGGGAATACAACATTTTCCGCCTCCATCGGAAAAAGCAGCATTTAAGGGCTCAATTATCTTTCATGAACACAGTCCGAGCACTCAAACAAAATATTTGCATAGCGTTTTTTCTGCTGCAATAAGTAGTTAACGACACTCTCATCGTGGATGTTACAGTTACTTACCTAGAAAAAACGTTTTGCAGTGCTCAGTCACGATTTCGGTTTCAGAGGGTGCTGAACAAGTGAGGTCCAACGTAACGTGGTTTTCAAGCGAACATAGATCGCTACATGAACACAGAACCACATGGACGTAGTCACCGCAGAGACAACTTTTTTCAAAGAAGGCTTTTTGGTTGCTGCGATAAATGCCTCTCTGATTTAAATATGCATGACCCATGAAAATGCGCAGCCAAAGCAAGGACGTCGGCCTTTGTGGGCAGACATGCAAGTCTGCCCCCTCTTCATTTCAAGAAGTCTGCTAGGAGAGCACTTGCAAGGGTTGTGGAAGCCAACACAAACTTATCACATAAAAGGCAGTAAGTTGTTTAGACAGAAAACAAAGGGGTGTTCTGCAACTAATGGTATCACAAGAACTGTAACACATATTGACTAAAACCCGCAATATTAAAATGGGAAGTTTACTCGGAAAATGCATCACCTACTTTGTGATGAAACGATTGCCACAGAGCATTCCCCAAAGACAAATGCATTTTCCGCCTTTTAGCCACTTTTGAAAACCGTAACACAAAGCAGCAATGGCTTGCTAGCACAAGGTTCATACCACCAATATGAGTGTTATTCTCTGATAAACCGCCTTAAGTTCAAGAGTTTCATCGTGCTTCATTAGAGAAGCAGCTACGTTATTTCAAAAAGTTGGAGCACATCCTATGAAAACTTGAAAGTTGGCAGGAAATTTTTTTATAAACCTGTTGATTCTGCCTTGTGAAACACTGAAATATCATCCACATAGCAGGAGGATCTTACAGCACTAGAAGTCATCAACCTTTCATTAATATTTTTCCTTTCCGCACAGGTCAATACAACTCATTGAAAGTCTACACAATGATTTACAAAATACAAACAGCCTGCCACCGGAAAGGATCTACTGCTCTGGGTCAAGGATGCTACCGAATTTCTTTGAGCAGTATCCTTTCCTGGAAAGCGTTGAATGTCACTGACAGGTGTTTGTAAGTGTTTCTCACGCTGTTGCTTGAGTCTACCGTTCCTGGCTAGGCCATAAAAGAGTATTTGTAACGGCAGAGTATTAGTATTGATTCGAACAGTGTATCGATTCTTAGAGACCTGCGCTTGACCAGTATTTGAAAGAACAATAGTAAGAGATTGCTAGGTTTCAGTGCTGTACAATCTCCTGCTATGTGGATAATTTTTTTACTGTTCAATTTGGCAGAATCGGTGGAATGCAAGTAGGTTGTCAAGCCCAGTATGAAGGTTTCGTAGCACAAGCACCAGCACCTTGTAGCAACACATGAGATTCCTGAATGTTTAACGATCGAATCACTACGCTTAACACAGCTTTTTACAAAATGGTGTACAAGTTGGCAGTATAAGTCTCGTCCATGAAAGCCACTGCTGCCTTTCTTGTCGGGGCACACAAAAGGGCCCAAGAGAGCGGCCATGCACATGGCCTTGCAGAGCACTCTGTGTGGATCACCTTGATGATAGAAGCAATTTCCAAGTAAGTGTCTAGACCTCATATTGCAGGTTGAACTGAAAACGAGTTGCCTCTAGCCGAAGATTTGCATTGGCATGCGAGGTATCCTAGGCGTAGAAAGGACCTACATACCATCTGAAGGGCTGCAAGAAAAGATGAGGGCTGTCAAACTTAGCATGCCCAGTGTTTGTCACAAGCTCTACTAGAAAATAAGGAGAAAGTGCTGGAGTTGAAGTAGTGTTTATGGCCCCCGAAACTTTCTGACCTACTCAGATTCATCGATCAGATAAAAGGAAGGAAACACTGCAGCACTCATCGCCGACAGAAGTATGTAACCTGTGTTAAAGGGATGATGTGCACAGTTACTGACACGCAGCAGGAGGTACATGGGTCAGAAGGGGCGCTGTGTCAATGATAGACTTCATGAAACCTTTATAGCATACAAACAACAGTGACAAGGCATTTCTGAATCTATAAGTGGGATTGCAGGTGTCTTTGAAGATCGTGTAGTACTTTTAGGTAGCCTCTATCAGGGGGTCAATCTACTCTGTTAATTTTTAAACATTAAATCATTCAGGTTATGGGAAACATTTAAGTGGTTAGCATTCGAGTGTCTAGAGTGGTTACCTGTAGACACAGTGTAATTTATAAGATCAATACACAATAATTAAGAAAGTTGCATTCATTTACTCTCTTTTGAAATATTTGCAAAAGGTTAAAGCAAATGAATAGTTGTGCCACACGTCACCACGTCGATAGGGATACGCTTTACAGGCTGCGGTTGTTTCAACTGCCATAAGAAAATCGTACTTAATCTCCTCACAGACTAGTTGGGGTAAAATTATAGTAATTGATTGATTTGTGGGGTTTAACGTCCTAAAAACACCATTTGAATATGACAGACGCCGTAGTGGAGGGCTCCGGAAATTTTGACCACCTGGGGTTCTTTAACGTGCAACCAAATCTGAGTACACGGGCCTTCAACATTTCCGCCTCCATCGGAAATGCAGCCGCCGCAGCCGAAAATCGAACCCGCGACCTGCGGGTCCGCAGCCGAGTACCTTAGCCACTAGACCACCGCGCCGGGGCAAAATTATAGTAATGCTATGAAACGAAGAAACATGTACAAATATAGTAATGCAGACTTGAGCCAAACGTAGAGGCACATGATAACAGATGCAACAGAAGAGGTTACGGCAAAACCGGTGGGCCGGGGAAACATGGTGAAACCGTTGCTTTAAACAAACGAGGGGCTGCCACTCATTCAAAGGGCCATTTTTTCTAGAAATAAACACACAGATCAACCTAACAAAGATTCTGAGTACAAAATACTTGATAATATTTTTAATTTGTTTAGTGCATACATCGTATACACTACATATTTCGAGATATTGAAAGTGGATGAACGCCCAAATGTCACATTTTTAATTTTTGGCTGGATAAAAGAGATTACATCGGTGTCACACGAGCACATTTGCTCGTCAGTAGGGCTGATTTGGGATCTGGATCTAGTTTGTCCAAGACTTGAGTCAATGCTCAATTTGGGAGCCAGGTCGTGATCAAAAGTGCCCGTTTGACACCGGCAGTGAACGTGCCTCACGCCACAAATAATGCGATGAAGCATGTGATTGCAAAAAGATCTACAAAATGGAAGACTGCAAACGGCCTTCTTGAGAGAACCCGCTACTTACCCGATCATGCAGCGTGAGGAGTGGTCAGGTGGAACCCGTTGCTGCCGCCGAACGCCTTGCTTAGTTGTACACGGACACTAGGCGGCACCGCAAAACACAAAGCCGTTCAATTCAGCCTTGCAGACTTTATATCAACTGAAATTTCATATTGTTAACTACCAATGAAGGGACGGCGACAAAACCCTTCAATATTTTGAGCGCGAAATGCTATCACGTGACTATAACAGCCCGTGATGCAAGGGAAAACCCGATTTTGACAATGTATAGCCTCCGAGACAAATATATCCAGTGGTGATCTTGAAGGCTATTGCTTGTTTATTAACTAGGTAATTATAAATATTCTACGTGCAAATTGTAATACTAGTTTTTAATTATGACTGCATTTTCGTTTTGGTGTCGTCTGATGAGCGCAACATTGAAACCATCGTGAAAACGCATAATGAGGGTGCAAAAAAAGCAAGTATCGAGTGCCTCAGTGAAACTTCCACTGCGCTAAACAATTCTGGATTCCAATACCTTTGTGATCTGGTTTAAAATTTTGTGATGGTTGTGGCGGTGCCCCTGCACAGGGTTTGGATATATAAAGATGTGGATGTTCTTTGAATAAAGCCAGTTAGCAGTTTGCGCATGTCCTCGTGTGTGTGTGTTGTCTGTAGGTGTACCCTCACGATGGTTTCTGTGTCAAAGCGCGAGCTCGCCCGACAGCCAACTCTTTTGGTGAGCACAAATTTAGCAGAAAAAGGTACACTTTGGCACTGCAAACTTCGCTACATGCCATGTGGAACAGGGTCTGCTGTGGAATATTCATGCGTAGCCACAATGTTACCGTCTGCTCTAAGAACATATATTTGCGGTGCGATTTCAAACAAGCTTTATCACTGGGAGCTTCCTTTTGTGCACTATTCGGTGTTTTCGAAACAGGACTCTCTTTGAAGCCAGCAGGTACAAATTTATGCAATGAGTGAGGTCAGTGAAAACGTACGCAGGTCGGAACTAATTCGAGAGTCAACGAGGTTGAGATCGAACCTTGAGTGCGTGTCCTGGTGAATGGTGTTCTTGCGAGTTTGAGTCCGAGTTGGTCAAGTTAAAAAAAGTCTTCACAAGTGTGAGTTTAATGTGCAAAACATGTTTTTTGAGCGGTTCCATTGCTTTTTTTGCCCACCCCTATCTACTGACCCTCAGCATTACTACCAGCCTTCTCTAGATTAACAATTATACTCACAGTGACTCACGACTTCTAAAGAGTATCGTTGAAACTTGTTATCAAGCGTACAGTGTCCAAATGCGCTAATAAGAGCACCGATGACGTGTGACACTTGTGTTAAAGAGCATCGACGCCTTGGTGGACTCATATAGGTCATGAGTCGCTTGATTCTCTCAGATTCAGATATAGCCGTGAGTGTACGTCTGAGTGAGTACGGGTGAAGAAAACTTTTGCGATTGTGAGCCAGGCTCAGGGAAATTTTGTTGAGTCCAAGTCCGCATGAGCGCTAACCACAAGGTATATTTTAGGAGTGAGTGTGAGCGAGCTCCACAATTTTTGTGAACCTATGGTGAGACAGATGACTTATCCCACACGAAGACGCCAACAATTGCAATCTAGCTGCAGTTCTATCAGCCGAGTTGGAGAAACTGCATTATACAGGCGTGCACAAGCAACCACTTGCGTGCGAAACAAGACTCATTAAGTCATAGCGTTGCCCTGCGGATATTTTAGTACGTACAAGTAATTTGAACATTTCCAAACAGCTATTGCCACACTTTTTTATACTGCCTTACCTGTCTTTTTTTACTTTACAAAACCACCTTAAAAATGAAGTTAAAATTGACTTGTGCAGTTTCGATTTCTACTAACTATCATTATCATCAGCATCGTCATTGTCGTCGTCGTCGTCGTAACACAGTAGCACAGAGGAGGATCTTATCTTAGTGTGCTTTTGCTCTGCAATCTCGGTCAAAGACGCCAAGTTTGGGTGGCTTAGTAAAGCGTGAGGAGTCGTTCAAGTGTGACCGATAACGACGACCTCTAGTGAAAAAAGCAGAATGCTTCCACGCAACAGCTAATTATTGTCAGTGAGCTCGCTTGATGCGGATCTTCCTACACAAAATAACGTCCATAGCAGAGACATCTGAGCGTGTAAGTACATGATCGGCGATTTCTGGGCGAATTTGTTGCTGTTCACCCAATGATTTCTGCTTTATTTCACAATTGCAAGTCAAGAAACTGCACCTATCGAACGGACGGTGATCCTCCGACTTTCCGTAGCCGGCGGACCTGTTGCCATTATCTACAACAGTATATATTTCGCTCCTCCAACTGAGGCGACTCCACAACCAGGAATGAACCCTTCATGCACATTCTACGCCGACACGCAACAAAGGGTATACCCGCTACACACTTCGCTGCTTAAAGCGGCAAGCTATATAGCGTCTTGACTCTTCCCCCACTGCCACAATTCTAGTAGTGCATGAATTTAACAATCAGTAACAATGCGACCAGATGATCAGACAACAGACCTCCCCAGGTATGAATAACCATTTCTGCAAACTAGCGACAATAGTCCCCAATTGTCATGTAGAGAGCTCGCCAAGCTCACCAAGCAGTGGCAGCTCGCACACGACTTCCATCGCAAATCAGTTGACATCAATGAATAGTTGATTGTGTGATAAATACAGCTAAGCCGTCGTTCTGTTGTGACTAACTAGAAAAGCACTGCCGTTGACCAAATGTGTTAGTCGTCCAGACAGCTGCATAAAGGTGGTGCTACTTATGCATGAACACCACGCTGAAACAGAAAGGGAAGCTCGCCTAACTGCTGACAGGTTACCATAACTACGCTGTCGACAAAAAACATGCTACTTAAAAAACCTACTGAGGGGTAATTCTAGACGCCTAAAGCACCACAGGAAGAAATAATCACAGAGAAACAGCGTACTCGCAACTGAATTATTTGCAGGAGAAACGCAGGAAATATATAGCCGCACACGCATGTGCAGAGCACCCTACTTCACCTAGTCACATGACCACAGACAAAAACTGAGGACGTTCAACCGGCATATCTAATCAAGCAACAAAGCGCAAAAATCAAACTCAGACTTGCGCAAGATGAATGTTGTGTCACTTATACACAAGTCACCTTTTTTTTATCCAGAACACTTCCATTATTTCACAGGCCAGAGCATCTGGGCTTTTGGCGGGGACAGAAACGCCTGAAAACCTTGCCTCACAAGAACAGGAACGGCAATGCGCAGGCAAATATGCTCCGGAAAGATTTCGAATTGAAAGCTCATGTTCCTTAATTCTCACGTTCAAACACCGTCAAGTTTGGTCGATGTAAACCCGGCCTCAACTAAGTGGGATTAGGTACACCACACCCACTACGCAAACCACAAACATCGAAGCGTGTATTTTTCCACAGGTGGAGGCGCTCGGTGTTTTAGAAATACGTGGGCATACGCCAGCCAGCTTTCGTGGCACAGAAAAAAACAAGAGACACATTGTACCTGCTCGCCACGCTCTTAAGGTTGTGCGGTACCTTATGAACATATGGAACAACCACAGGTCGTTTATCCCTCGGCTGCCTGCATTTTCGTTTGCCCTTGAACTTTTGAAGGAGGGTTTCAAAACGGATACGTTGACAGAGTTAGGATAGCCAGCTGAATGCAGCCGCCTAACTTGATTCAAGTAGCTGTCGTAAATCCTGTGATGGCAAGATTTCACTATCGCTCCCTCGAGACACATGGTTGCAATGGCTCTTTTTACAAGTTTAGAATGAGCTGCATCAAAAGGTAAAAGCTCTTTGCGCGAACGTGAATGATACGCCCAGCACACGTGTCGCTCCGAGAACGTGATGCTGAAGTCTAAAAACTGCAATTTATTGTCAGTGGAAACCTCATGCGAAAACGAAAGGCCGTTAGAATGTTGTCTGAAAAGTGCTAAAATATCATCCACTGAACTAGTGGTAGTCGTCAGAGGGTTAGCGTTTAAAATGACTAAAACTCGTCCACGTACCGAAAGTCTTTCAGCATCTTTGCATCGTCAATTGGTTGAGCTAAAACAATGTCGAAGGAGGATAAGAACATGTTACACGGCACTGGAGCGACACAAGAGCCAACGCAGATTCCTTGTCGCTGAACGTAAAGATTACCATCATGTGATACAAAGGTTGAGGTAAGATAGAATTCCAACAACGTCATAAAGTTACCTAAAGATACGCCTGCGGCCCTCTTGAACGCTAGAACTCCGTTCGTTTCAATACAGGTTCTAACGATTTTGAATAGCTCCTAGGGCGGCACAGAATAAAAAAGGTCTTCAACACCGACTGAAAAGCCACACGCACCACCCTGGAGGCAGTGCAGAGTCTGCATAACTTCATTCAAGTTCTTCACTGCAAACGGGTCTCTGACTTCAACCGTGTTAAAGTAATTGACTAAAAATTTACTGACATGCAACTGCCACGAGTCACGTTAACTTGCAATGCACCTGAAAGGCATGCCAACCTTGTATGATTTTGCACTGAAGAACACTGACAGGGTTGCTTGCCTGGAGGTGCTAATAGCCTTAGAAATTTTTAAAAGTTCAAGATCTTAACTTAGCAGAATAGCTTTAGCCTTCACCTTGCTTGCTTTGGGGCTTCGTTGGTACGAAGTTCTTCTGTAAAGCTTGAATAGCCTTTTCACCTAAGGCTTTTGCTGTCAGTACCACGAAACCACCTTCCTTGTCGGCCTGCATGAGCTATAGATGGTTCCTCTGAAAGGGCGTGACAACAGCCTTAGTAGGGTCCTTAGGGTGAAGATGCGTTCGCTGAACGTTCTTCAAAAGAACGTCCACCACATCCAATAGGCACCTTTCTCCGCCATCTCTGGGCGCACACTTGGCTATCCTCCTATTAGTAGCCAGTAGTTCGTGAACCCGAAGGTTCGGTGGTACTGAAAACTTCGTTTCTTTCTTCAACAGGCAAAAAATTCGTTCAGGTAGCTCCACGTTGTCTGGCAAATGAAGCTTGGCTGGATCGGCAGGTAGCTTCCTGGGTTTCTTCGGCAAAAAGTTTGGTGTGCATTGCCACCAAAACTGTGT